CAGCAGGGAGGGCAGCACCTCGGTCACCCAGCTCTGGGCGCTGCTGACGTCCGCGTCCTGCTTCTCGCCGTGCTGCCGCTTGAAGACGATGTTGTGGCGGGTCTTCCACCGGCAGAGCCAGCCGTCCGTGGCCTCGAACTCCCGGCCTGCATGCAGGGCCAGCTCCTGGGCCTTGGCCTTCAGGATCGGGCCTGAGAGCCTCTCCCCCCTGGCCAGGGCCTGCTGGAACCAGAGGAACAGCGCGTCCTCCACCTCCCCTCCCTTGCCCTCCCGCTTGCGCTTCCGCAGTGGGTTGGCATTGGTGCGCCAGTCGGCCAGAATCTGCTCCCGGCTGCGGCCGATCCGGCCTGCCTGGCTCTTGGAGATCCCAAACAGCTTGGCCACGCTGGACAGGGAGGCGGTGGGTGACTCCAGGGCCTGCAGCAGCTTGACGCGGTCAGCCAGCGAGAGCTCCTTCCTCTTGGAAATGATCGTGGTTGTGCAGCACGAGATCCGGCGCTTGGAAGGGTCTGCGGGGAAAGAAAGACCCTGTCAGCTCTCCACAGCCCGCCCAGCACCTCTCCCACGCCTCGTTCCCAGGGCAGCCCTCAGCGAATGGACCCCACACACCCCGCATCTTCCTTGAGCAGTCGCACCCCTCCAACCCCAGGCACTGAGCCTCGCAGCCCTCCTGGGAGAAAAGATCATCCACAGCTACCAATGGGGAAACTGAGGCTGTGACTTGCCCAAGGTCTCAAAGCACATCACTGGCAGATCTCAGAACAGAACCCAGGCGTCCTGGCTCCCAACCTCCCAGCAGATTCCATTCCCCTCCCAGAGCTGGGAATAAGAACCCAGGAGTCCCAGCTCCCAGTCCCACTCGAAACCCTCCATGTGCAGCCCTGAATGAGTCACCTGTGATGAGCGGCTGTGACCCAGGAGTGGGGGAGCCCACCCCCTTCTCAACCCCTGCTCTAGCAGCTGGTCTCCCTCCCCACCTGGGGGCTTTGAGCAATAGGAAACCAGGAGACCAGAAGACACGCCCAGACCATGGTGCTGCCGTGCCCGCCGGCTGGCCAGCAGTGCCTATTAAAGATCTGTCAGTCCCAGCACGTCACACACGTGGGGCTCTTCCGGACAGCGTTTGGGTGCCCCTTGCTGGGTCATGGGCACCAAACCCTGGGTGGGGAATCGTCCAAGAGCTGCCCGCAGAGAGCGTGGGACACGTTCCCCAGCAGCAGGGAGAGGCACAGGGAGATCGACAGGGGCACGGAGCGGAGAGACGGGTCAGACGTGCTAACAGGACACACGATAACGTGAGGCGCAGGGCGGAGCACAAACCGTGAGCAGTAGTGCAGAGACAGCGTTTGCACGTGTGATAACTGGGCGTGCCCATTACACCAGCTCCACAGGGACCTGGCCATTCACACCTGCAGTCACTACAGCTGCGCCCGGGCAGGCTAGAAACTATGGGCCTGGAAGTCTCCAGGCCTGATTCTCCCGTCTCGGGCCATGTGTTGCTGTTTGCACCTGGGCCATCGTACGCCCATGCTGCTCAGCCGTCAGTGACGACCCGGGGCAAAGCGGGGCGGAGGAGGGGGGCACGGCCTTGGAGTGGGCAGGGAGCTGGGAAACGCCCAGAGAAGGCACACCAGGCCATCCAGCTCTGGTCCAGGCTGGGAACTGGGTCTGCAAAGGTGTCTGCATCACTCACCTGGGACGGGGCCTTTGGGGCTCTCCCTTGCTCGCAGGTCCTGGCCATCCCCGACAGGCGGCTCTTCCCCCCGCTCCAGCTTCGAGACGAGCTCAGGTTTGGGGCTTGCAGAGCCTGGGCCCGGGGGAGAAGCACAGTTGGTTTCTGGCACTGCCCCAGGACCCCGGCTCAGGCTCTCCTGGGCTGCTCTGGCGGAGGGGCGGGGTGTCAGGTGTGAAACAGTCATCAGAGTTGGCGCTAAAGGGCCTTCTTGTATGAGACAGTCAGAGCGGTTAATTCCCCCAGGGGCCAGACAGCATCTCCCCCCAACCCTCCATCATCCCCCGCCAGGGCTCCCCACTCCACCAGCGCCTCGAGCCCTCAGACAAGCCTGCCCAAGCAATGCGTGGACCAGGGCTACGAGGCCAGATCTGGGCATAAGCCATTCCCCGGGGTGGCTCAGTGCCAGGCACCAGGCACAACTGGGGTGAAACAGAGACAGGGACCGAGTGAGACCCACAAGGGCACAAGGGGTCAGCAGGGATATCGCAGGTCACAGATGAAGTGCACGGACAGGAGCTTATGCAGCCCCACACTACCCTGCCCACGCCTTGCCCGCACTGGTGCCAGCCCACTCCACCCCAGTGCCTGACCCACGCCTCGCCCACCCTGGTCCCAGCCCATCCCATGCCTTGCCCACCCCAGTGCCCACCCCACGCCTCGCCTGCCCCAGCCTGTCCTGGTCCCAGCCCACCCCACCCCACGCCATGCCCGCCCCACACGGTTCCATGATTGTCACATTCAATCAGATTTCCCCACAGCAGGAACATCCGAGTTGGGGGCTGCTGCCCACGAGGGACGGCCGAGGGGGGCTCACCCAGCGAGGCCACCAGCTGGTAATTCTCCGTCATCACGTGGCGGTACATCTCCCGCTGCCAGCCTGCCAGTTTCTTCCACTCCTCCTTGGTGAAATAGATCGCAACGTCCTCGAAGGTCACGGGCCCCTGGGAAACAGGGCGCCCCTGCTCAGCACCACCCGCTCCCGCGGCCTGCGGACACTCGCAGCCCAGGCTCGGGGCCCTTCACTTCGACCACGTCGCCCCCTCTTGCTGACCTCCACCGGCTCCTTCTCTGCGAGTCTTCACCGTCCGTCCCACCCACCCGCCATCTCTCCCTCCTGCTACGCTGCAAACAAGCCCCTCGGAGCTGCCACAAAACGACCAGATTATCCACCTTCACACCGAGCCCGCGGCCTGCCCCGCTCAGCGCCGCTGCATTGGCCCCGTGCGCCCCCGTCCACCCGCCTGGCTCTTGGCTGGTACCTCCGTTATCAGCGCGTGGGCTCCCGGGGCCACAACGCGAACGCTAGCGAACAACGGCCGAGCCGAGGCAGGCCGGTTCCCGCAGCCCCGCCGGCTCTTCGCAGTGTAACTCCCAGGAGGCAACATGTGGTTCCAGCATCCCAGGACCTCTGCCCCCTTCACACCAAGCCCCGCCGGGCTCCACGGGAGGATGCAGGAGTCACCCTTTGCTGCTGAAGGGAAGTGAGCCAGGCACAAGCTTGGCTGTTCCAAGCGGGGTGTGCTGGGGAGCCCCTGCTCCGGAATGGCAGGGACTGCGGCTGGGGGGGCCTCTGCAGAGGTGGGGAGCAGCCGGGTTTGAATGGCAGAGATGCTGCCAGGTGACCTGGACTGAGATGCCCTGACAGGAGGAGGGGAGAAAATTACCCCTTATCTGTCTGCACTGCCCTGCACCCTGTACAGTTATTCACTTATCCCCATTTTACGGAGGGGGAAACTGAGGCACAGAGACAGGCAAGGACTAAAAGAGATCCCACAGCAAGTCAGGAACAACACCCAGAAGAGCTAACTCCCAGCCCCTGGCCCCTCATCCACTAGGCCCCATTCTTCTCCCAGAGTTGGGGATGGAACCCAGGCGTCCTGGCTTCCCCCGGGCCCAGCTGCCGCACAAACGAAGCAGCAAGTGGCTGCTGGCTGGAGGCTCCGCTAACTCTCGGTGCCTCCCCATAGCACCGCCCCTCCCTTCCCGAGGTGCGCCCCCAGAGCCCCCCGTGCGCCCCCCGGCCTGGCCCGGCCCCGCCGTGCGCCCCCAGAGCCCCCCGTGCACCCCCAGGGTCCCCCCCGGCCTGGCCTGGCCCGGCCCCGCCGTGCACCCCCAGGGTCCCCCCCGGCCTGGCCCGGCTGTGCGCCCCCAGAGCCCCCCGTGCACCCCCAGGGTCCCCCCCGGCCTGGCCCGGCCCCGCCGTGCGCCCCCAAAGCCCCCCGTGCACCCCCCGGCCCAGCCCTACCTGCGCCGAAGCCCCTGCAGCCATTTTCCCCGCTCTCCCTGCGTGCGATGGCGCCGCGGCCGCCCAGCGGGCACATGCCCGAGCCCGGCCCCGCGGTGCAGCGTCCGGCCCCTCGCCAGGGTCCCCGGGCCCCGCTGGCGGCCGCCTCTCCGCGCTCCGCGCCGGCTGCAGGCGCTGCCCGGCTTAGACCCAGCCTGCCCCCGGGCGCAGCCGGCTCCTGGCGCACGCTGGGGCTGCCGTCCCGGCCCAGCCTCGCCTTTGTGTCCCGGCAACACCGGGAAGCGGCGGCCCCGCCTCGGGTCCCGGGGGTCCGCGCAGCCCGGCCCGCCCGCCGGCTGGGAGAGGCGATTGCGGCCGGGCCCCCTGCCCTGCCCTCAGGGCTCCCGACCCGGCTGTTCCGGCCCCAGCAGCCGGGGCTGGGTTACAAATGGCTCCGGCTCCAGTTCAAGCTGCAATCACAAGCGTGGCCGGGCCTGGAGCCCGCTGGGTCCTCTCGCGCCGTCCCGGAGCGCGGCGCCTAGGGCCGGGCAGCGGCCGGCTGGAGAGGCAGGAAAGAGCCGAGCCGAGCCGGTGGAAGTCGCTGGCCAGGCCGCTGGACCCAGGGTTGCGGGGGGCTCGCCCAGCTGCGGACGGGGCCGCCGCGTGCAGGGTCGGGAGAGGGGTTCGTCCGCGTCGCTTCTCCGGCTGGCGCAGCGAGCTCGGGGCCGCGGGCGCCGGAGGGAGCCGAAAAAGCAGGAAAGTTGATTTTCCTCTGGCAACCTACGAACCCCAAGGTGCGAGAGGAAGAGCCCCGGTGCTGCCCAGTCCGGGCGGCCCGACTGGTGAGCCGGTCGCTACCCCGAGCCAACGCGGGCTGCGCTCACGGCTCCTGCCGGCCCTCTGGCGTGGCCGGTTCCTTGCCTATCCCGCCGGGCTCGGATGTGGAGCCAGGAGAGCCTGAGCCAGCTCGACAACACTCGCTTCACGCAGGAAGGCGGGACGTTTCCCTCCCCAGGTTCTAGTACAGATGGAAAACGCCAGAATCGGACGGGCGCTGAGCCAAGCTGCTCCGGGGAGGCGGCAGGCGCGGGGCGCCCTCGGGCGGCGAAGCATCGCCGGACTCCGCGCAAAGGCCACCTGCAGCTGGAGCCCAGCGGCTACCAACCCGCCAGACCCGGCCCGGCTTCAGGGAAAGGGGCAAGGCCAGAGGCCTACAGTGGTGGTTTAAGCTGAGGCTTTAAATGAAGGTTTCCTATCTGCTGATTTCAGTCGCTCTGATTCAAATCAATTCACCCGACAGCGACAGCTGCCCCTCACCCCCGGCCCGGCAGCTCCATTCACAACCCATCAGTGACCAGATCCTCAGCCCCCTACCTTGGGAGGCAGCAACCATCATTCCCACGGGTAATGGAGAAATGGCACTAGGTCACTTCTGGCAGTTGGGGGACTAGAACCCCTGTCCCCAGCAATGCAGCGTGATGCTCCCCAAGGGCACCCAAGGTTGGGCAGCACCTCACCCCCACCTGCCCTTAGCACAAAGCAGTCTTGTCTGGTCCTGCTGTGGATCAGCTCCCTGAACCCACCAGCCTCTGACAACACAATCACTGCCTGCCAGGCCCCCACAGGCCTTGTCCTCTCTGTATCAGTAACACCAGGCCCACACCAACCCCGAATCCTCAGAGCGTTCCCTGCCACGTCCAGCCCCTGGCCCCCCTCAGACTGACCATGCTGGCTGTTCCCCAAAGGACCAGGACACCCCAGTTGAACACACAGCCCTTTGATACGTTACTAGTGAAAACAAGGGCACGTTTATCATCAGAGATTCAGGGGATGGTGATAAGAACCCTGGAAACAAATGGTTACGTGTAAAACAAACTGTAAGGTGCTTTCTTGAGACTGAGCCTGGCAGGTTACGCACTCCCTGAAGAAGTTCATCTCACCCCAAATCCTCCGCCGTCTTCTCAAGCCAGGTTGGCTGAGACCCTGCTTCCAAATGCGCCTCCATCCCCGTCCTGGGCGCAGAACCCCCGTGTGTCTCCTCTGCCTTTGAGACACACACCCCGAGTTCACCGGCTTTACCCACGGCCCGGACAAGCCCCTGGGCCGGGTGTTTCCTGTGTGCTCCGTTCCTACTGACCTCGGGTCTCCTCAGTAACATTTGACTTCGTATGTGAATGGGCAGAATTTACAGCCCAACAGAGAGACAGGATCCTCTCCTCCTGCCCAGAGGCGGCACCTTTTGGAGACCACTTTGACCTCTCCAGCTTAAGAGCACAATTGGCTGGCCCAGACCCATAGCTCCTGCGCCGTGTGTGTGAGACACGTCACAGGGATGTTGACCAGCGTGACCCCGGCTTTCGGGTAAGACCGCGCCTGACATTCGTCTGTGCCCCAGAATGTTCACACCTGATGCAGGAGCTCTCGGTAAGGTCCCCCCCCCCACCCCCCGTCAGTTGGGCTAAGCAGTTTTGGGGTCACAGGCTGACCCTAGCACCAGGCACAATCGTGCTACTCAGGAATCTTAGCAACTGCCCCAAGCAGGAGAGCCCCCAGAGCAGCAGGCAGTAGAGCCGCCTGTAACTACTATCTAGAGGCATTGTGGCCCAGACGTGAGAGGAGAGATAGGACATGGAGCTTCCCCACAGCACTCCTGCCCTCCCTGTGCGAGCAGGGCTGGGTCGCGTCAGGACTAGTGTTCTCCCCGACAGGCCGGGACAGAGGGACGACCTTTCCTGGTGCTGCCTGTGAGCATGTAACACCCCTGTAACTACTCACCGTCCTCGACACCTACCAGATCCCAGAGCTGCCGCAATCCAGCAGCTGGTTCCAGGGGACATGCGCCAGCCAGACGACTGTGGATCGCTGGCTTTGCAGCAGGAATCGCAGCTGGAAAAGCCCCTCGGACAGGAGAACAGACAGCCTCAATCCACTGCCCACACTCTCGTTATTGGGTGAGTTTTTCACAGCCCAGCAGCCAGGCCCAGCAACCCAAGATGGCTGCCGTGACTTGTTATTTCGGGCCATCGGTGGGTCCCGTTCAGAGGAAGGCAAAGCAGGGAGGCAGGCTTGGAACAGTCAGCACAGGGGAGAGGGGCCGTGTCAAACCTGCAGAGAGCAGCTGGGGACACCAGGGTTCCTGATTGCTGGCAGCTGCCAGGCTGGCTTCACCCAGGGGCCAGCGCCTCTGTCATAGAGTCCCCGGGCGATGCTCTGGATCTGCTCCCCATGAAGCCAGGCAGGACTCTGGGGAAGTCACCTTCCTGGGAGCAGCCTGTCTGCAGGACACACAGCTCACCCGGCTCCACCTTCCTGGGTCTGACCTCGGAGCATTCAGCCTCCTCTGCCCCTCCGTGCGCTTCCCACAGCGAGTCCGCTCAGGTGGGGTCCTGGGGAAGCCAGAGGGTCCTGCCCCCCAACTCCACAGTCAGACGTGACTCTCAGCCAGCCAGTAAAACAGAGGTTTATTAGATGACAGGAACATGGTCTAACACAGAGCTTGCAGGTGCAGGGAACAGGACCCCTCAGCTGGGTCCATTTTGGGGGGCAGTGAGCCAGACAACCCCGTCTGCCCTTCACTCCATGTCCCCAGCCAGCCCCAAACTGAAACTCCCTCCAGCCCCTCCTCCTCTGGGCTTTGTTCCTTTCCCCAGGCCAGGCGGTCACCTGATTCTTTTGTTCTCCAACCCTTTAGCTCTCACCTTGCGGGGGGAGGGGGGGGCGGAAGGGCCCAGGCCATCAGTTGCCAGGAAACAGGGTGTCGGCCATTCTCTGTGTCCAGACCCCTGCACACCCCTGCCCTCTAGGGCTCTGCAAGGATCATACACCCTTACCCCACCATGTAGATACTTAAGAACTGCATAGGGGAAACTGAGGCACCCCCACACTATTCAGAGGAAACATTAAGAACAGTCCTGCTTCATCACAGCCTCCCTGTGGGTTCATTCCCCCAGCCTACATGGCTGGGGGAGGGGGTGCCCTGGTCCTAGCACCCTGAGGCCTGGGTCTCCCATACACCATGCTGGGGGGACACAGCCCACACAGGCTAGTACAGTATCTACTTAAGCGGCTTCTGCAGCTACTGGGCCAGCTTCAGCCCAGCTCCCAGGCTCGGGCAGCTCAGAGCTCTGCCAACACCTTTGCAAACCAACCCTCGGCTTTGGGCCCCGCAGCCAGGAGAACGGCGTTGAAATGCGCTGGCTTTCTGCTTCCTGTTCCTCTGGAGGGCATCTTCCTGCCCCAGCAGACTCCACACACGCCCCTTGGAAACGAGACCTCTGTCCTGTCCCCGCCCCAGGGGGTTTGGTGGAGTGGAACATGCGCCCCGGGAGGCCTTGCTCGGGGATGCTCGTTTAGACAGTGTCGGCGAGTGCACATTTCCCAAACCACCCAGCGGGGTCGCTCTTGGATTGCTGCAGCACACTGCCACCGCTCACCATGTGGGCACAAATCGTGCAATATCTGGTGTTTTACATAAAGCCCCAGCTCCTGGAGTCATGTGAATATATGGGAAGCACAGGATCATTGAACTGCAGGACTGGAGGAGTCCTCGGTAGGTCATCCAGTTCAGCCCCAGTGCTGAGGCAGGACTAAGTATTACCTACACCATCCCTGACAGTGTTTGTCCCACCTGCTCTTAAAAATCTCCAGTGACAGAAACTCCACAACCTCCCTGGGCAATTTACAGGCAGTCCTAACTTTATGACGTTCAACTTACAACGAACAGCACGTACGTTTCTAAACGGACACCCTGATTCGACTTATGACAGTGGTTTAGACCTGATGATGCCCGGTCTCGCAGTGGAGTTGATTGTGGTTCCGAGTTACAACGTTTTGACTTACGACACAATTTTCAGGAACCGATTGTGTCGTAAGTCCGAGGACTGCCTGTTTTCCAGTCCTTAACCACCCTGGCAGGTAGGGAGTTTTTCCTACTGTCCAACCTAAACTGCCCTGGCTGCAATTTAAGCCCATTGCGTCTTGTCCTGTCCTCAGAGGTTAAGAAAAACATTTTTTCTCCCTCCTCCTTTTACATACTTGAAGACTCTGATCATGCCTCCTCTCAGTCTTCTCTTCTCCAGACTAAACAAACCCAATTTTTTAATCTTCCCTCGTAGGTCATGTTTTCTGGGACCAACCTTCGGTGCCTTCAGCACCCCTGTATCACGCCATGAGCCCCCGGCAGGGAATCCCCCTGGACTGGATGCCTGGGAAGGACTTACACATCCAAGGGAAAAATGCACCCCCCCAATTTCCGTAGACTGGAGTGACTCTCAGCCAGCGCTGTAAAACAGAAGGGTTTATTAGATGTCTGGAACACAGTGTAGGAAGTTCTTAGTTCACATACAGAGTTACAGCATAGTCCATCCAGGCCAGTCCTGAGCCCTCTGACCTCCAGTCCAGAAGAAGGAATCCTGCTTCCAGCCTACACTAACAACTCAACTGACCCCTCCTTCATCCTTTGTTCTCCAGTTGGTCACTACTGTCTGGCTTCCCCGCAGAGGATGGGCGACCCATGGTCGTTAGTAGCCAGGTACCAAAGGGCTGTGCAGTTGGAGTGGCCATTGTCCTCTCCAGGCCCCAGAATCATAGAATATCAGGGTTGGACCTCAGGAGGTCATCTAGTCCAACCCCCTGCTCAAAGCAGGACCAATCCCCAATTAAATCATCCCAGCCAGGGCTCTGTCAAGTCTGACCTTAAAAACCTCCCTGGTCTACACTAGGACTTTAGGTCGAATTTAGCAGCGTTAAATCGATGTAAACCTGCACCCGTCCACACAATGAAGCCTTTTATTTCGACTTAAAGGGCTCTTAAAATTGATTTCCTTACTCCACCCCTGACAAGTGGATTAGCGCTTAAATCGACCTTGCCGGCTCGAATTTGGGGAACTGTGGACACAATTCGATGGTATTGGCCTCCGGGAGCTATCCCAGAGTGCTCCATTGTGACCGCTCTGGACAGCACTCTCAACTCAGATGCACTGGCCAGGTAGACAGGAAAAGAACCGTGAACTTTTAAATTTCATTTCCTGTTTGGCCAGCGTGGCAAGCTGCAGGTGACCATGCAGAGCTCATCAGCAGAGGTGACCATGATGGAGTCCCAGAATCGCAAAAGAGCTCCAGCATGGACCGAACGGGAGGTACGGGATCTGATCGCTGTTTGGGGAGAGGAATCTGTGCTATCAGAACTCCGTTCCAGTTTTCGAAATGCCAAAACCTTTGTCAAAATCTCCCAGGGCATGAAGGACAGAGGCCATAACAGGGACCCGAAGCAGTGCCACGTGAAACTGAAGGAGCTGAGGAAAGCCTACCAGAAAACCAGAGAGGCGAACGGCCGCTCCGGGTCAGAGCCCCAAACGTGCCGCTTCTATGATGAGCTGCATGCCATTTTAGGGGGTTCAGCCACCACTACCCCAGCCGTGTTGTTTGACTCCTTCAATGGAGATGGAGGCAATACGGAAGCAGGTTTTTGGGGACGAAGAAGAAGATGATGATGATGATGAGGTTGTAGATAGCTCACAGCAAGCAAGCGGAGAAACCGGTTTTCCCGACAGCCAGGAACTGTTTCTCACCCTGGACCTGGAGCCAGTACCCCCCGAACCCACCCAAGGCTGCCTCCTGGACCCAGCAGGCGGAGAAGAGACCTCTGGTGAGTGTACCTTTTAAAATACTATACATGATTTAAAAGCAAGCATGTGAAAGGATTACTTTGCCCTGGCATTCGCGGTTCTCCTAGATGTACTCCTAAAGCCTTTGCAAAAGGTTTCTGGGGAGGGCAGCCTTATTGCGTCCTTCATGGTAGGACACTTTACCACTCCAGGCCAGTAACACGTACTCGGGAATCATTGTAGAACAAAGCATTGCAGTGTATGTTTGCTGGCATTCAAACAGCATCCGTTCTTTATCTCTCTGTGTTATCCTCAGGAGAGTGAGAGATAATTCATGGTCACCTGGTTGAAATAGAGTGCTTTTCTTCAGGGGACACTCAGAGGAGCCCATTCCTGCTGGGCTGTTTGCCTGTGGCTAAACAGAAATGTTCCCCGCTGTTAGCCACAGGGAGGGGGGAAGGTTGAGGGGGTAGCCACGCGGTGGGGGGAGGCAAAATGCGACCTTGTAACGAAAGCACATGTGCTATGTATGTAATGTTAACAGCAAGGTTTACCCTGAAAGAGTGTAGCCACCGTTTTATAAAATGTGTCTTTTTAAATACCGCTGTCCCTTTTTTTTTCTCCACCAGCTGCATGTGTTTCAATGATCACAGGATCTTCTCCTTCCCAGAGGCTAGTGAAGCTTAGAAAGAAAAAAAAACGCACTCGCAATGAAATGTTCTCCGAGCTCATGCTGTCCTCCCACAGTGACAGAGCACAGACGAATGCGTGGAGGCAAATAATGTCAGAGTGCAGGAAAGCACAAAATGACCGGGAGGAGAGGTGGCGGGCTGAAGAGAGTAAGTGGCGGGCTGAAGAGAGGGCTGAAGCTCAAATGTGGCAGCAGTGTGATGAGAGGAGGCAGGATTCAATGCTGAGGCTGCTGGAGGACCAAACCAGTATGCTCCAGTGTATGGTTGAGCTGCAGCAAAGGCAGCTGGAGCACAGACTGCCACTGCAGCCCCTCTGTAATCAACTGCCCTCCTCCCCAAGTTCCATAGCCTCCACACCCAGACGCCCAAGAACGCGGTGGGGGGGCCTCCAGCCAACCAGCCACTCCACCACAGAGGATTGCCCAAAAAAAAGAAGGCTGTCATTCAATAAATTTTAAAGTTGTAAACTTTTAAAGTGCTGTGCTTAAAGTGCTGTGTGGCATTTTCCTTCCCTCCTCCACCACCCCTCCTGGGCTACCTTGGTAGTCATCCCCCTATTTGTGTGATGAATGAATAAAGAATGCATGAATGTGAAGCAACAATGACTTTATTACCTCTGCAAGCGGTGATTGAAGGGAGGAGGGGCGGGTGGTTAGCTTACAGGGAAGTAGAGTGAACCAAGGGGCAGGGGGTTTCATCAAGGAGAAACAAACAGAACTTTCACACCGTAGCCTGGCCAGTCATGAAACTGGTTTTCAAAGCTTCTCTGATGCGTACCGCGCCCTCCTGTGCTCTTCTAACCGCCCTGATGTCTGGCTGCGCGTAACCAGCAGCCAGGCGATTTGCCTCAACCTCCCACCCCGCCATAAACGTCTCCCCCTTACTCTCACAGATATTGTGGAGCACACGGCAAGCAGTAATAACAGTGGGAATATTGGTTTCGCTGAGGTCTAAGCGAGTCAGTAAACTGCGCCAGCGCACCTTTAAACGTCCAAATGCACATTCTACCACCATTCTGCACTTGCTCAGCCTGCAGTTGAACAGCTCCTGACTACTGTCCAGGCTGCCTGTGTACGGCTTCATGAGCCATGGCATTAAGGGGTAGGCTGGGTCCCCAAGGATACATATAGGCATTTCAACATCCCCAACAGTTATTTTCTGGTCTGGGAATAAAGTCCCTTCCTGCAGCTTTTGAAACAGACCAGAGTTCCTGAAGATGCGAGCATCATGCACCTTTCCCAGCCATCCCACGTTGATGTTGGTGAAACGTCCCTTGTGATCCACCAGAGCTTGCAGCACTATCGAAAAGTACCCCTTGCGGTTTATGTACTCGGCGGCTTGGTGCTCCGGTGCCAAGATAGGGATATGGGTTCCGTCTATGGCCCCACCACCGTTAGGGAATCCCATTGCAGCAAAGCCATCCACTATGACCTGCACATTTCCCAGGGTCACTACCCTTGATATCAGCAGATCTTTGATTGCGTGGGCTACTTGCATCACAGCAGCCCCCACAGTAGATTTGCCCACTCCAAATTGATTCCCAACTGACCGGTAGCTGTCTGGCGTTGCAAGCTTCCACAGGGCTATCGCCACTCGCTTCTCAACTGTGAGGGCTGCTCTCATCTTGGTATTCATGCGCCTCAGGGCAGGGGAAAGCAAGTCACAAAGTTCCATGAAAGTGCCCTTACGCATGCGAAAGTTTCGCAGCCACTGGGAATCGTCCCAGACCTGCAACACTATGCGGTCCCACCAGTCTGTGCTTGTTTCCCGAGCCCAGAATCGGCGTTCCACAGCATGAACCTGCCCCATTAGCACCATGATGCATGCATTGGCAGGGCCCATGCTTTCAGAGAAATCTGTGTCCATGTCCTGATCACTCACGTGACCGCGCTGACGTCGCCTCCTCGCCCGGTATCGCTTTGCCAGGTTCTGGTGCTGCATATACTGCTGGATAATGCGTGTGGTGTTTAATGTGCTCCTAATTGCCAAAGTGAGCTGAGCGGCCTCCATGCTTGCCTTGGTATGGCGTCCGCACAGAAAAAAGGCGCGGAACGATTGTCTGCCGTTGCTCTGACGGAGGGAGGGGCGACTGACGACACGGCTTACAGGGTTGGCTTCAGGGAGCAAAAATCAACAAAGGGGGTGTCTTTACATCAAGGAGTATTTCAGGCAGGACTTCACCGAGGGTTCCAATAAGAAATGGTGCACCTAAGTTATTGTTCTTATTGGAACAAGGAGGTTAGCCTGGCCTCTGATTGATACATGGCTAGATTTACCTCGCTGCACCTTCTCTGTGAGTGACTGCAGTGTGACCTAGAGGAATGAGTCCCCTAGACAGGGGAGGAGGCAAATGAGTACAAAACAAATCTGGTCTATTTCTTGTTTTGATCCACTCCATCTATCTTTTACATCTTTGGCTGGCAGCAGACGGTGCAGAAGGACTGCATGCCATCCACATCTCATGGCTGCTCGGCAGAAGATGGTACAGTACGACTGCTAGCCATCCTCATCTCTTGCCTGCCTGGCAGAAGATGGTACAATACGACTGCTAGCAATCCTCATCTCTTGCCTGCCCGACAGAAAATGGTACAGTACGACTGCTAGCAATCCGTATCGCCTGCCTGCTCACCATAAGACGGTTCAATAGGACTGACTGCAGGACTAAAGAGAATGACCTGGTCAAGTCACTCTAAATTAAGTCCCTGCACCCATGTCTGTCCAGGCGCTCCCAGCCGACGTGGCCAGGAGCACCTCGGACATGACGATGACGGCTACCAGTCGTATTGCACCGTCTGCTGCCACAAGGCAATGGGTTGCTGCTACTGTGTAGCAAAGCCGTACCGCGTCTGCCAGCACCCAGGAGACATAGGGTGACGGTTACCTGAGTGGGCTCCATGCTTGCCGTGGTATGGCGTCTGCACAGGTAACTCAGGAAAAAAGGCGCGAAAATATTGTCTGCCCTTGCTTTCACGGAGGGAGGGAGGGAACGGGGGCCTGACGATATGTACCCAGAACCACCCGCGACAATGTTTTAGCCCCATCAGGCATTGGGATCTCAACCCAGAATTCCAATGGGCAGCGGAGACTGCGGGAACTGTGGGATAGCTACCCACAGTGCAACGCTCCGGAAGTCGACTCTAGCCTCGGTACTGTGGAAGCACTCCGCCGAGTTACTGCACTTAATGCACTTAGAGCATTTTCTGTGGGGACACACACACTCGAATATATAAAACCGATTTCTAAAAAACCGACTTCTATAAATTCGACCTAATTTCGTAGTGTAGACATACCCAGGAAGGAGATTCTACCACCTCCCTAGGTAACGCATTCCAGTGTTTCACCACCCTCATAGTGAAAAAGATTTTCCTAATATCCAACCTAAACCTCCCCCACTGCAACTTGAGACCATTACTCCTCGTCCTGTCCTCTTCTACCACTGAGAATAGTCTAGAACCATCCTCTCTGGAACCACCTCTCAGGTAGTTGAAAGCAGCTATCAAATCCCCCCTCATTCTTCTCTTCTGCAGACTAAACAATCCCAGTTCCCTCAGCCTCTCCTCATAAGTCATGTGTTCCAGACCCCTAATCATTTTTGTTGCCCTTCGCTGGACTCTCTCCAATTTATCCACATCATTTTTGTAGTGTGGGGCCCAAAACTGGACACAGTACTCCAGATCAGGCCTCACCAATGTCGAATAGAGGGGGACGATCACGTCCCTCGATCTGCTGGCAATGCTCCTACTTATACATCCCAAAATGCCATTGGCCTTCTTGGCAACAAGGGCACATTGTTGACTCATATCCAGCTTCTCGTCCATTGTCACCCCTAGGTCCTTTTCCACAGAACTGCTGCCTAGCCATTTGGTCCCTAGTCTGTAGCGGTGCATTGGGTTCTTCCGTCCTAAGTGCAGGACCCTGCTCTTATCCTTGTTGAACCTCATCAGATTTCTTTTGGCCCAATCCTCCAATTTGTCTAGGGCCCTCTGTATCCTATCCCTACCCTCCAGCGTATCTACCACTCCTCCCAGTTTAGTATCATCCGCAAATTTCCTGAGAGTGCAATCCACACCATCCTCCAGATCATTTATGAAGATATTGAACAAAACCGGCCCCAGGACCGACCCCTGGGGCACTCCACTTGACACCGGCTACCAACTAGACATGCAGCCATTGATCACTACCCGTTGAGCCCGACAATCTAGCCAACTTTCTACCCACCTTATAGTGCATTCATCCAGCCCATACTTCCTTAACTTGCTGACAAGAATACTGTGGGAGACTGTGTCAAAAGCTTTGCTAAAGTCAAGAAACAATACATCCACTGCTTTCCCTTCATCCACAGAACCAGTAATCTCATCATAGAAGGCGATTAGGTTAGTCAGGCATGACCTTCCCTTGGTGAATCCATGCTGACTGTTCCTGATCACTTTCCTCTCCTCTAAGTGCTTCAGGATTGATTCCTTGAGGACCTGCTCCATGATTTTTCCAGGGACTGAGGTGAGACTGACTGGCCTGTAGTTCCCAGGATCCTCCTTCTTCCCTTTTTTAAAGATTGGCATTACATTAGCCTTTTTCCAGTCATCCGGGACTTCCCCCGATCGCCATGAGTTTTCAAAGATAATGGCCAATGGCTCTGCAATCACAGCCGCCAATTCCTTTAGCACTCTCGGATGCAAGTCGTCCGGCCCCATGGACTTGTGCACGTCCAGCTTTTCTAAATAGTCCCGAACCACCTCTTTCTCCACAGAGGGCTGGCCACCTACTCCCCATGCTGTGATGTCCAGCGCAGCAGTCTGGGAGCTGACCTTGTTCGTGAAGACAAAGGCAAAAAAAACATTGAGTACATTAGCTTTTTCCACATCCTCTGTCACTAGGTTGCCTCCCTCCTTCAGTAAGGGGCCCACACTTTCCTTGACTTTCTTCTTGTTGCTAACATACCTGAAGAAACCCTTCTTGTTACTCTTAACATCTCTTGCTAGCTGCAGCTCCAGGTGCGATTTGGCCCTCCTGATTTCATTCCTACATGCCCGAGCAATATTTTTATACTCTTCCCTGGTCATTTGTCCAATCTTCCACTTCTTGTAAGCTTCTTTTTTATGTTGAAGATCCGCAAGGATTTCACTATTAAGCCAAGCTGGTCGCCTGCCATATTTACTATTCTTTCGACACATCGGGATGGTTTGTCTCGGTAACCTCAATAGGGATTCCTTGAAATACAGCCAGCTCTCCTGGACTCCTTTCCCCTTCATGTTATTCCCCCAGGGGATCCTACCCATCAGTTCCCTGAGGGAGTCGAAGTCTGCTTTCCAGAAGTCCAGGGTCCATATTCTGCTGCTCTCCTTTCCTCCTTGTGTCAGGATCCTGAACTCGACCAACTCATGGTCACATGACATCCAATGAAGTGAGCTGTAGCTCACGAAAGCTCATGCTCAAATAAATTGGTTAGTCTCTAAGGTGCCACAAGTACTCCTTTTCTTCATGGTCACTGCCTCCCAGATTCCCATCCACTTTTGCTTCCTCCACTAATTCTTCCCGGTTTGTGAGCAGCAGGTCAAGAAAAGCTCCCCCCCTAGTTGGTTCCTCCAGCACTTGCACCAGGAAATTGTCCCCTACGCTTTCCAAAAACTTCCTGGATTGTCTGTGCCCCGCTGTATTGCTCTCCCAGCCGATATCAGGAAGATTAAAGTCGCCCATGAGAACCAGGGCGTGCGATCTAGTAGCTTCTGCGAGTTGCCGGAGTTGCGAGTCAGCCACACCTGGATCTCCGCAAAGAGTAAACCTTCCCCCCAACTCATTAACCATGCAGCACATGGGGGAAACTGAGGCACACACACTATTCATCCAGAATAGTATGACAAACTCCCACTCTGTCACAACATCCCAGAACGTTTGGGGTTTTTTTGCACCAGTGTTTTATTATTGACTCCTTTTTAGTTGGAGGCCCCTGGCACCCCCAGATCCCTTCCTGCAGTGCAGCTTCCTCGGCAGTCATTGCCCAGTGTGTGTGTGCAGCAGCCCGCTCCTACCTAAGGGGGCACTTATTGAATTTCAGCCTATTTACTTCAGACCATTTCTCCAGACTGTCCAGATGCTTTAGAATTCCAATTCTGTCCTCCAAAGCACCTGCAACCCCTCCCAGCTTGGTATCATCCGCACACTTTATCAGCGTTCTCTCTCGGTCACTAGCCAAATCAATATTCACTAGACCGGGCCCAGGGCAGATCCCTGCGGGACCCCACTCACTATGCAATTCTAGCTTGACTGTGGCCCATTGGCACGGACTCTCAGGGAGCGGTTCTCCACCCAGTCCTGCGCCCGGAGGCTCCTGGAGGCTGTTTCCCTAGTGTGCTATGAGGGTCTGGGAGACACGTCACAAACCGCATTCAAGCCGAGCTCTGTAATCTCCCCCCCAGCCTTGGGACCCGGCCAGAGAAGGATACGAGGGTGGTTTGACACCGACTGTAGCTCAGCCCCTTGTTACCTTTGAGGTGCTCACAGAGCCAATCTCAGCTGTCATTAAAAACCAACCTTTCTGCCCCCCGCAACATTCGAGCTTGTAAATGTGGCACCCCCCAAAGCTGCTTCTTAATGAGCCCCAGCTGCCAGCCCTTCTCCCAACACCTAGCCCCAAGGCAGGTTCTGCTCCCCGCTCCCCCGTGGGAGGCTGAGCACACGCCCCGGCGTGGCCTGTGATGCCGGGAGGGGTTTGATACCCGCACATGGCCCTTGACGCCCAGTGGCTGGCGATCCCCAGCACGAGGCTGCAGAGCCTGACCCAGAGCCCCAAAGGCCCCAGGCGAGAGACACCCTGGTCGTTACAGCAGATCAGAGTCAGTCGGATGGGAGAGGACAGCAGGGAGGGCCCTACTCCCCGCCGCCCGGGGAATGTCCTGGTGTTGCCATTTCACTGCGGTCTGGGCTCTCACGCCGTCTCCGGGCTGCACGGCAGGGCTGGGCGTTGCAGGCAAGGTGCTGGGGACTCATTTGAGATCAGAACGGCCACACGGGGTCGGAGCAACAGTCCAGCCAGCCCAGGAGCCTGGCTTCTGACAGCGGCCAGCGCCAGCGCCAGGTGCCCCAGAGGAAATGGGCAAGGGACCCATCAAAGAGGAGGCCCGCAGGGCAGGCCACGGAAGCCGTCCGAGCCCACTCACGCAGGCTGCCCAGACCCCTCTCCACTCAAGGCCGAGCTCCAAACCTGCCCCCATGGCTCCTCTCCGCTCTCTCACGTACGTCTCCACACAATGCCACAGACGCCACCCAGGCCTCGTGCCCTCCCACCGGGAGCGGCACCATTCACCCTATTTTGCAGGTGGGGACGCCACGGCCCAGGCTGGCGAGGGGCCGGGCCCAGGACCGCCCGTGGAAGGGGTGGCAGGGCCAGGCACGGGGCCCAGCTCTCCGGCGGGGCCCAGCTCTCTCGGCGCCCGGTGGAGGCACTGGTGCTGTGCCAGCTGCAGGCGGCAGCGCTGGCCACCCTGGGGGCAGGCGAGGGGCACCATGTACCTGTCCTTGCGCCTCAAGCCCTTCCCGCACTGAACGGCTTCCGGTGCTCGTGCTCCAGACGGTGAGCGGCCCAGGCCTCCCTGGAGCCGAAGGCCTGTCCGGCGCGTGGGCCCGCTCGCTGCCGAAGCGCTGGCTGCACTAGGCACAGGGGTGCGGTGGCGGGCGCGGAGGTGGGCGGTCAGGGAGCCGCGCCGGGGGAAGTGCCCCCCACTCTGCGCGCAGGGGAACGGCTGCTCCGGCGCGTGGCTCTCCCGGCGCTCCTGCCAGGTGCGCTCAGCGCAGGGGCCGGGCTGCTCGGCCGAGGGGCGCCGGTGGTGCTTGCCGAGCGTGATCCTCCGCGGCAGACTCTTGCCGCACTCGGCGCAGGGGAAGGACGCCTCCCCGGCGTGCCGCAGCGGGTGGCGTTGCAGGAGGTAGATGTAGGGGAAGAGCTGGGGGCAGTGGGGCAGGGGAAGGAGCCCCTCCCGCGCTCCGCCGGCGGCTCCACCGGCAGGATGATCCTGTCGCTGCACTTGGTGGCACTTGAAGGGCTTCGCTCCGGCCAGCTCCATGCGTACCTTGTCCACCAGGTGCTCGCTGTAGACGACGCTGCGCGTGCAGGCCACGCAGGTGACCGTCCGGTCCCGCAGGTGGGCTCTCTGGTGCACCGCCAGCCTGCCCACCCGGATAAGATCTTCCTGCACTCCCCGCAGGGCAGGTTGCACTCCCCGAGGTGGGTCCTCAGCACGTGCATGATGAGGAGGCCCCGCTCCGAGAAGCTTTGCCCGCTGTCCTTGCAGGTATTCGGCACCTTCCCCTGGGGCGCTGGGAGGGCTGCTGCTCCTCCCAGGGACTTCTGGGCTCCCCACGGCTTCTCCTCAGCCCCAGCCCAGATTCCATCACCTGCCGGGCACAAAGAGAGAGACCGGCCATTACCGCCAGCGCCGTGAGAGGGAAGGAGCCTGGGTCCACAGCAGATTATCGGGGGGAGATTAGCTAGGAGGAGAAGGGGCAGGCGAGATTTCCCATCCAGGATGTCACAGAGAGAACGGCCAGCGCAGTGCAGCCAGTAACTAGCCAGCAGTGATGAGGTCTGCACTGCGGCCGTGGTGGGGAGCTTCGTATCGCAGGGCAATGAGCCCAGCCCCAGACGCTGTCTCAGGGAACGAGACAGCCAGGGAGAGCGTCTCAGCGTCTGAGTGTCCACTCTCAGCCCCAGCCCCTCCCAGCCTCCCCTGACCCGAGCCTTTCTGGGGGAGCCCCTGGCATCACTCACCCGTGCTGGGGGGCTCAGGAATCGCTCTCTCCTGCCCCTGCTGGGGCTCTTCCCCTCACTCCAGTTCACAGCTGTTCTCTGGCTTGGGGGCCGCAGAGCCTGTGCGTGGAGGGGAGTCACAGGCATGCGGGGTGTTGAGGAGAGGGGTGTCCTGGAGAGGCAGAGCCAGGCGTCACCCTGGATTTCCGGGGCAGGATCATGTCTGCAGGGCTTGCTACAGCCACGGGTATCATGGGGAGCGCAGAGTCGGTGCCTGGGTCTCTCTGGGAGCCGAGGTCCTGGGGCTCTGAGGACACAGGGCCCATGGACAGCTGGGGTTTTGGCCAGAGGTGCAGTCTGGGACCCAGGCATCGAACCCCCCTGAGCTGCTCGGAGCCCCAGCCCCAGCGGATGTTGCTCTAGGGCTGCTCCCAGGCCAGGTCCCCCCAGGGCAGCCGGGCTAAGGCCTCGGAGGCACTGAAATGACAGAGCTGGTGAACCAAGCTCCTGGCTCTGTCCCCATGCTCAGGCCACGATGGGAGGTGGAACGGGCACTACCTGGCATTTAGCGACTGGGCACAGGAGCTCCCTGGGGAATCGTGACAAGATGTGCCTGGTCCGCGGGTTGGTCGCTCCCGGCGGGGAGTGCCCAGGAAGTGCCTGGGAGGAGGAGGTCGCGGTCTCTGCCATGGCAGAACCTTTCAACCTGCTCATGGATCCCGGGGCCTATGGGCGGCAACGGTTGCCTAGCCGGCAGGCCAGGCGGCAAGCCGGACTCCTTGGGGGAGCATTGGCCAGGTCCAGCCAGAGACGGGGCAGTGGCCGGGGGGGCTTGGAGCGGTGCCCAAGCCTGGGGCTGACGGACGTGGCTGAGCCCTGCTGCCCTGCATGGGGTGGGAGGGGAGGACCGGCTGTCAGGCCCTTCGCTCAGTCACGGGCCCCCTGCCAGGAGTTCGGAGTGGGGGCCAGGACAGGGGATAACTGGCTATTTGTGCTGCTGCTAAAGAGATGGACAGGGAGCCTCACACACCGAGGAGACCAGCTCGAAATTCTCCCTCCTCACGGCCCAGGACAGCTCCCGCTGCCATTCCCCTAACGCCGCCCACTCCACGGGGAGAATCGGACCCCCACGTCCTCCAACGCCACCCGCAGCACAAGCCGCCCCCCACAGCGCCTCCTGGATAGCCGCGCCCAGGCCCTGCACGGTCACCACCCTCCCAGCTGCATTCCCAATCCCCATCTGGGAGCTCACCTCGGGCCCTTGGGAGGGCGAGGCCCCTGGGAAGGAGGGCAGCCATGGGAGCAGCGCAGGGGTGCTGGAGCCAGACGGTTTCATGGCACTGGCCTCTTCCTCCCCTGCAGTCAAGCCGACAGCAGATGCCCTGGCAAGGGAAGGCCGAGTCTCACGACACGCTGCCCTGCATGGCAGAATGAGCCAGCAGCTGGGACAGTGGACTGGGACGGAGAATCGAGGCAGCCAGACACCGGCCTGGAACTTGGCTCTGCCTGCGTTTCCAAGGCGACATGGGGTAGGGGAGCCCTTGGAGCCACCAGCCCAGGGCACTGCCAGGAGCACCGCCCAGGCCTGGCACATCTGTCCCGGGCACCTGCCCTCGCCCCTTACCCGCGCTGGTCGCAGGTCGCTCTGCGTCTCGCACACCTGTCCCCAGTGCAGGAGGACCCTGGAGAGCCGAGGAGCCCAGACAAACCGACCATCCCCGACACAGGGCCCGGCTCGGTGACTCGCTGCAACCCAACCGTCCGTCATCGGCGCCTGCGGGGGGGCAGAGAACGGCACCGCGTTATCTGAGCGCGCGGGAGAGGCCACCTGGACAGAGCGAAGGCGCGAGCTCTGCGTGGTGACACCGCTCGCAGCGGATGGGGAAGGGCCAGGTGCACCTAGCCCACCTTGTACAACACGGGAAGGGGCTGCAGAGGCCGGGCTCCCAGGTGCACAAGCGTCCCATGCTGGAGGGTGTGAAAAGCCCCCACAGCCAGCAACAGAACAGGCTGCCCCAGGCCGGGGCTGCGGGACACCAGAGCAGCTGCCTGCCAGGGGACACCAAGCCTGGAATAGTGGGGGCTGTGGGTCGGGAGAGAGGGGTGTCAGCAGAGCTTGGGGGAAGCCCAGGGCTGGGCTAGCAGGGGGCTGTGGGTCAGGGGCACTTTCAGAGCTGGCGGGGAGCCCAGGGCCGGAATAGTGGGGGGCTGTGGGTGGGGAGTGAGGGGCGTCGGCAGGGCCGTGGGGGGAGCCCAGGGCCGGAATAGTGGGGGCCTGTGGGTGGGGAGTGAGGGGGCGTCGGCAGGGCCGTGGGGGAGCCCAGGGCCGGGCTGGCAGGGGCTGTGGGTGGGGAGGAGGGGCTCGGCAGAGCCGTGGGGGGAGGGGAGTGAGGGGGTCGGCAGGGCCGTGGGGGGAGCCAGGGCCGGAATAGTGGGGGGCTGTGGGTGGGGAGTGAGGGGCGTCGGCAGGGCCGTGGGGGGAGCCCAGGGCCGGAATAGTGGGGGGCTGTGGGTGGGGAGTGAGGGGCGTCGGCAGGGCCGTGGGGGGAGCCCAGGGCCGGAATAGTGGGGGCCTGTGGGTGGGGAGGAGGGGGTCGGCAGGGCCGTGGGGGGAGCCAGGGCCGGAATAGTGGGGGCCTGTGGGTGGGGAGTGAGGGGCGTCGCAGGGCCGTGGGGGAGCCAGGGCCGGAATAGTGGGGCTGTGGGTGGGGAGTGAGGGCGCGCAGGGCCGTGGGGAGCCCAGGGCCGGAATAGTGGGGGCCTGTGGGTGGGGAGTGAGGGGCGTCGGCAGGGCCGTGGGGGGAGCCCAGGGCCGGGCTGGCAGGGCGTCGGGACTGAGGGGCGTCGGCAGGGCCGTGTGCTGATCCAGGACTGGCTAGTTCGTTAATCCACAGGTCAGGCGCAGGCCAGGCCTAGCAAAGTGGCCGCCCCAGGTGACTGAGGTGAGGCAGACCCGCAGCAGGAGCAGGGATGCTCGCTCAGCTGCCAGGACTCCCCCCTCCCGCAGAGCAGCAGTGACCCAGCCCGCCGGCACGCGGCACCAGCCCACCCCGGGACAAGGCCAGGTCCCTTAAGGGGTGCTGGGCCCCGCCTGCGTGGGGCAAGCTTCGCTCACAGCCCACGTGCAGTCACATGACAGGCAGGCCACGCCAGGAAGGTCTTGCCCGCGGGGGCAGAGACAAAACGGAAGCCGCTGCAGGGCCCCGAGTGAGGCTCTATTGCTGGGCTGGAATCCAGCTGCTGGTGGGCCGGGGGCGCCGGCGTGAACCTCTGCCCAGCAAGAGAACAGGCACCTCGGAGATCACCGGGTCCCTGACCGGGCAGCCCCAACGCAGCCCCTTCAGCTACCCCGGGGGCGCCAGCCAGCCGGCGCAGAGCACAGGGCCCCAGGGCTTTGCCTCCTCATCCTCCACCACTACTGAAGTGCCACGGGGGCCTTGCACAGGCGGCTTTGCTGCAGCTGGCCCTGAGAACACGGAGACCTGGGCCAGCGTCCGTGGAGCTGGGAACAGCGTCCTGGAGCCCCGCTGGGTCCCACGGGGCAGCAAGGCTGTGACCGAACGGCACACACCCGTCTCCACAGGGAGGTGCCCTCCCCACTCTAGCCGCGCCTCCTGGGGGGCGGCCCAGACGAACGGGGCACTGAACCCAGCAGGTTTGCAAGGGCACACAGCGCCCAACGCAGGGCACCCATTCCCCGAGTCCCCCCAGAGAGCAGGGCTGGCGGTGCCTGCGAACGGCCAGCAGCGCGGTTCACACAGAGCATCCGCCCGCCGAGGGGGCCCAAGACAGCTGCCCAGCAGCAGTCTGAGCAGCTCAGGTGCCCGAGGGGACCAGGCCCGGCAGCTGGCCGGCACAGAACCCGACACACCAAGGAGTTATCTGCAGGCCTCCCCGCTCCGTAACAGAGCGGCTCAGGGGTGGGCTCAGCATCACTCAGCCCTGCTGCGGGATTCCTCCCCCCTTCCCCTGGGGAGCCCTCACGTTTGGCTCTTCGTCTTTATCCGCCTTCCAGGCGACCTCCACTGCGGTGCCTGCAGAGCCTGTGTGGGGGAAGAGAACCACAGGCTGGATTTCCTGTGGCCACTGCGGGCTGGGACGGGAGCCACATGGGGAGACAGGAGGACAAGTGTTCCCTTCCGTCCTATGGAAGAGGCTGCCTGGCAGCCCCGGACCGGCCATGCGATGGCCCAAGGAGCTCTCTGACAACTGTGGGGTGCCATTTCTCTTGCCCCCCAAGCTCCGGGGCTATTCACGGCACAGTCTTGCTCTCTCCTGCCCTGGGAACCTCTCTTGTGCGCAGACAAAGGCAGAGCGCTCCCCGGATGCAGAGCGCACTGCGGGGAGGCCCAGCTCTGTCCTGCCTTTATTCCAAGGCTCACCACAACAGGGTTTTCACTACCCCTTCCCCAGAACTCGAGGAAACCAGCCCCTTTGATAGGTTTTCCCTGGAGGGGAAGTGGGGCTGCTGAATTCCCATGCGCACAGACAGGCCCAGGCAGGGGAGCAGATGAGGCAGCTAGACGTGCAGCGGGACGAGGACTCTGCACAGAGACTGGGGCCAGCAAGGATCAAAGCCCAGGCCTGAAAGCCCCAGCTCCCGGGTTAATGCGCCGGGACGGTTACAGAGCAGGAGACGAAGCCAAGGCAGCCGAGAGGGACACGTTACTCAGTTACCAGCAGGGCTTTTTGGGTGGTGGCTCAGCCTGGTTCATGCCCCAGACAAGCCCCTTGATGCAGGAGCTTCCTCGCCCGGGGAGCCAGGGGCAGCTGCTATGGGGGGTCCCAGTCCTGCTGCTCCCTCCAGCGCCCCGTGGAAGTGGCTGCCCCAGACCCTGGTCAGCCCAGCTGGGAGCAGCAAATGCAGAGGCCTTGTGGGTACTAGCTTGGAGACCAGGAGTCTCCCCATTTTCAGGCCAATCTCATGATTTCTGGGGTCTGCCTGGTGGTTTCTGAACTCCTGGGGCTGGCGATTCTGGGCCATACCCCGCCGGGACCCCATTACCGCAGCAGCAGGCCTGGCTGGGTGTTCCCACAGCACTGGGTCGAGGCCCCCAGTATGAGCTCAGCCGGGACAAGGATTGGACCAGTCCTGCCCCAGCCTCTGGACGTCTTCCCCACTGACTAGCCCCCGTGATCGCATCTCTCAGGGAGGACGCCCCACTAAGAGCCCACGGCCCGAGGGAAAACCCCTCCCCCAGTGCTCCTCGCCCTGGCCTGGGGATCTCGGGGGACCTGCATCGCTGTTGGGCTCTGATGTTGGGGCTGGTCTCTCCGAGTCAGGGATTTTCATGTGTGCGGCAGCAAAGAAAGGGAGCCTCACCCAGCGAGGTGACCAGCTCGTAGTTCTCCTTCCTCACGGCCCAGTACAGCTCCCTCTGCCAGTCCGCTAACGCCGTCCACTCCTTGGGGAGAAACCGACCGCCACGTCCTCGAATGCCACCGGCACCTGCAACAACACGCGGCCCCATCTCAGCACCGCCGGCTCCGCCGGGATTGAGATCTCTAAGGGACTGAGAATAGTGATGCTGCTCCTCAAACAGCACCGATTTTTGGTCTCTAGCGAAAGGAGGCCCCCGGGACCCGGGACCCAGGACCCATTAGAGGGGAAAAGCCCTGTCCCCTGCCCCCCTGAGCCAGCCATTCCCCCGACCCTGGGTCGAGCTCAGAGCTGGTGCTCCCTAGAGGGGAAAGGACCCCCGCTCCCGAGGTTACACTGGGCCGGGCAGGTTCTCGGACAGCTGGGCAGAGAGGAGCCGCGAAGGGGCCCGGCAGGGGCTGTTCCCTTCCACCTCGGGAGAGGGGAGCGATGATTCGGGCAATGCAGGAGAAGCCAGGGGCCTGTGAGCCACGGAGAGGCCAGCGGCCTGGCCTAGGAATGGGGCCATGTTGCTGCACCCGAGGCCCACAGCCCACGCCTGGCACGCAGGACGGGAAGGGCTGGGGAGGGGCAGCCGGGGGCCGTCTCAGCGAGGGAGCAGCCAGGGCCAAGTGGGGGCAGGAGCAGGTTCTGGGCAGGGAGCGCTGGGCAGGGCCCAGGGTGGCGGCTGGGGCGACTCTGCCACGGGGAGCTTGGTGAAACTGAGCACACTAGATACAGGAGGAAAGAAATGGGCACAAAGTGACCCCCGCTTGCGAAGCGTCTTCTGGTTATTCTGCCCCCCGGGACGTTAGCGGCCTGCCAGCCCCCAGCCCAGCGCAGCCCAGTGGTCGCCCTGCCCAGCCCTGGCACTGCCCAGCCCTGGCTCCCGCCTGTCTCTGGCCTTTGCTCACCGCGTGCCCTGGGGCTCGAGCTACATCCGCACCAAGCTCTCGGGGCAGGGCCCGGCCGTGGGGGGTCCCGATCCCTGCAGACACCAGGACACGCAGCACCGGGGCGTGTGAACAGGAGCTGGAGCGCTCCTGCGAAGCAGCTGTGCCCGAGCTCCGGCTGCTCCCCGGGGGGCCTCCCCGGCCCGGGAGCGGGTCTGCAGGGGCAGATCCCTCCCTGCGCAGGGCGCGGAGCCGCGGACCCCATTTCCTGGCCTCCCTGCGCGGTGGGGACGGAGCCGCCCGGGAGCGCAGGGACCGGGGCGCCTCCGGGAAGAACAGGGCAGCGTGGCCCTGCTCGCGCTCGGGGCATGCCGGGAGCTGTGGTCCGGTCTGGTCCGGTCCGGTCCGGGTGTGTTGTGGGAAGGAGCCGAAGAAGCCCCCCGAGTTCCCATGGAAATAGACGTTGGGGTTTCAGCGACCCCAGCTAAATGAGTCGCCGCCCCCGCCCCGCCCCCAGGTTCTTTCCTTACCAGGGTTTTGTTTTTTAAAAATGAGTTTTGGTTAAAAACCGTCTATTTTCCCAAGCCTGCCTGCGAGCAGCACGTGAGAACCCGGACCACGGGGCTGGCCACATTCGGGTGCCAGGTTTTCATTTAAAACAAGCATCAGAAACCTCCCCCCTCGTGAAATGGGGCTGGAAAGGGGTCCTGCAGGGGGAACTCCCACTGGGTTTTCATTGGAAACAGGAGTGTAGCACACAAAGCCGGCAGCCCCCCTGTGCCAGGCCTGCCCGCCGCCAGCTCGGGCTCCCCTGGGCTGCCAGAGCGAAACAGGCTCCAGGGCCAGGATCCGGCCAAGATTTGGCTTCCAAGCCCCAGGGGTTTCTACCCCCTGGACCTCATTCCCACTGGGCCTTGAGCCTGGCACTCACTGACTCCTGTGCCAAATGGGCACCAAATGCTACTTCCTCTCTTGCCTCAAAATCTTGTGGCGGCAAGTTCCACTGGTTAACAACACTGCCTTTAGTCAGGTTTAAACAGGTTGCCTCTGATTTCCACGGGGTGTCTGTCTCCCTTCGGGTTTTCTATCACATCCATCAGTTGTGAAATGAACGGCCATTCAGTCCCATCGGAGTGATTTCCCTGCCCTCCTCCCCCGCCAGCATCACATCACCTGCTAATTTGGGGTCACCGTGGTGGCTGTCGGTAACTTCTTGATCTGCCCAAATGCCTTGTTGAGTTCTGCAGCCCCACACCCACTGCAGCCCCGTTTTAGTGATACTGGATTGTTTGGCTTATTCCTGTAACAAGTTTGGTAGAAACTTTCCTTGTTAATAAGCCAAAGCTAAAAAGGACCCAGTTCAGGGGTTCTTAACCAGGGGTCCGAGCACATTGGCCTGCTGCTGAATAGGAGGGGGGTCCTGCATGACCCTCTTTTCCCAGCAGGACCCCCATCTAGTCCAGTGACCTGGTGCCTGGCACACTGCCAGCGTTAAAGCACAGGACTGTACCAGGCACAAAAGTCCCTGGGTCAGAGCTTCCCCCATCTGTCAACCACCCTGAGTCAGACGCTGGGGTTTGTGAAACACCCATTTCTCTGTTTCCTTCTGCAGTCCAACCCCTGCGGTGATCAGCCCTCGGAAAGGCCACAGCCGCCAGCTGTCCAAAATGCACCGCAAGGCTCCTAGCCTGTGAGACAGCAGCCGTCCCTGAGGCGTGTTCCTTGTGTAACCCACACACCTCCCGGGGGTGGCGGCTGACCCCGCTAGGGGCACCGAGACCACTTAGAGATTAATGGGTCTGCTACAGCCTTAGTTAAGGGCCATGTGGTTTTTAGCTCATTGGTTCATGCATTTAGCACCAGAGATCCCAGATTCGATCCTGGCTGATGGTGACCGGGGTCTGTCGGCGTCACACTAGGAAGGTGTTTTCGAGGCTCACCCAGGAGCCCCTTCCTGCTGCTAAACGCTGTTTCATAAACTGTGGGCCCCCTTTTTATTTATGCAACCATCAGCCAAGTGTCCGAGGCTCCATGGTGATCCGTGTCCACGCAGGGGTGGGTTACTGCACCTCGGACTCACTGCAACATAGGAATTGCCAGATGGGATCAGCATGAGGTATGTCTAGCCGGGTCCCATCTTTGACAGTGGCCAGAACTAGGTGCCTCACAGGAAGGTGTTGAAACCCCACAGCAGCAGGTGTGGGATAGTCTGCTTTGCACATGGATCTGATCCTGTCTCTAATAGACAGAGCTTGGCTTGAGCCCAGAAGCTGGAGGTCTAGTGTCCCTGCCAACATTTTCACCATTATTTCATTCACTGCTCTGCCTATTCTTGTTATCCAGAGAAACATCCAATACCTTTTTGAATCATGCTCAATTCTTAGCCTCAACTAGGTCCTATGTCAGTGAGTTCCGCAGGCTAGTTATGTCTCCAGTAAACAAGTATTTCCACTGATCAGTTTTGAATGTCTCAACTTTTCATTTCATGCAAAGTCCCGGCATCCTTGAGTGAGGAGATGAGGGAACGAGGGGACAGCAGACCCCAACTTCCTTGTCTAGGCCAGTTGTTATTTTATAGACTTTGGTCACGTCCCCTCTCCTGCGTCTGCTCGCTGCGGTAACCCTCCGAGTCGGTTCAATCTCTTTGCAGGGGAGTTTTTCCTTTGATCCCTCTCGCTGCCCTTGACTGACCCCCTCTCGTTCTGCCCTAGGCTGGCTATAAGGGGAGCCCTGGGCTGACACAGGATCCAGGGGTTGGCAGCACCACTGATCGGTGTGAAGGGAGTCAAATATTCCCTGTCCATCCCAAGCCTGTTGAATCCCGACATCACACGAGTGTTTCTGAACCCCGGCGGCATGTGGAGTGAGGAGTGAAGATCTCCGTCGAGCTGTCTGGGGGGATGCCCAGGCCCTGTCCAGGGCTGAGCCGGGTCATCTGGACCCCCGCAGGCAGACGGGGAGGTGCTCTTTCCCCATCTAGCGTGTCTTACTCTGCATTCAATGAGTATGGGTGTGACGAAGTGGGACTGTTCTTAATGTTTCCTCTGAATATTGTGGGGGTGCCTCAGTTTCCCCTATGCAGTTCTTAAGTATCTACGTGGTGGGGTAAGGGTGTATGATCCTTGCAGAGCCCTAGAGGGCAGGTGTGTGCAGGGGTCTGGACACAGAGAATGGCCGACACCCTGTTTCCTGGCAACTGATGGCCTGGCCCTTCCCACCTAGAAGGTGAGAGCTAAAGGGTTGGAGAACAAAGGAATCAGGTGCCCTCTTTGCCCGGGGAAAGGAATAAAGCCCAGGGGAGAAGGGGCTGGAGGGAGTTTCAGTTGGGGGCTGGCTGGGACATGGAGTGAAGGGCAGACGTGGTTGTCTGGCTCACTGCCCCCCAAAATGGACCCAGCTGAGGGGTCCTGTTCTCTGCACCTTCAAGCTCTGTTTTAGACCATGTTCCTGTCGTTTAATAAACCTCTGTTTTACTGGCTGGCTGAGAGTCACATCTGACTGCGAAGTTGGGGTGCAGGATTCTCTGGCTTCCCCAAGAGCCCCGCCTGAGCGGACTCGCTGTGGGAAGCGCAGGGAGGGGCAGAGGATGCTGAATGCTCCGAGGTCAGACCCAGGGAAGTGGAAGCCGTGTGAGCTGTGTGTCCTGAAGACAGGCTGACTGGCTTCACAGGGATCAGTTCCAGCGCATCGCCCAGGGACTCCGTGACAATGGGTTCCCTGTGTGCCCGTTCGCCCAGCTGGGTCCGGGGTCTCTGAGCCCCTCACGGCCCCTTCTGCACCTAAGTAACCTCCACGCCTTTGTGTCACTGGCAAACATTGCTGCTCCCATGCCGCACCCCCAAATCACTGGTTAATATACTAGCCACAGGCCCCAGAACAGAGCCCACAGGCCCTGCTGGTACCCTTCTGGCGGGAGGAAAGCTGGCCACTCCTTCTGACACTGAAGACAAGGACACGCCAGCCTGTCCTGAACACACAGGGCCTGGCCCTCCCCTGCCCTTTGCTCTGTGACCTCCCTCACGCTGGGCACCAGATCAGAAAGCACCAGACCCCTCTCAGCACTCCTGGAGGTGGCTGCACAAGGACCAAGACGAGGAAGCACCAGCCCCCGGGTACCGAATGTACCACGGCCGACAGGGAGCCTGGGTAACTGTCTCCTCGAGCAGCGATCTGCCCGCACAGGCCCTGGCCTGGGCTCTGTGGGGCACCAACGCATAGGCCTGGTCACAGCCCCCATTAGCCGGCTGCAGGCCGTGCAGCCTGACAGCCCGAGCACAGGAGAGCTGGTGCCTCCATTCCTCGCCTGCAAGCCCCTAAGTTTGGGCCCCATGTTCCTGCTGCAGGAGCTGATGGCATCGCCAGCCGCGGGGCAGGGGCAAGCTGGCAGCTCCCAACGTGGTTTGAGAGCGGGGGGGAGAACAGGACCATCCCTGGGATGGGGGCGAGGAGGAGGGGGAGCCGGGTAACACCCTGTAGTGTCTGCCCCTGGGAGCACCTCCTTGCTGATGACTGCTGCCATAAGCCCTGCCCTTCCCAGCCAGCCCCCTACCCATCTCTCCCCTCCTCCCCAACCCCGGATCTCACCGTCTGCTCACACTAGGAGAGCGCACATTAGTGGGACAGGTGCTGGCTGGCTCCAGGGGGCCCCTGCGGGAAACCCAGCACCCCGGGAACAGGTTCTGGAAATGGGCAGCGTGATGCAGTCCCTGTCCCCAGCCAGCCCTGCAGGGCTGGCGAGCTGTGCCCTGCCAGAAAGCACAGGCACGAGGACCATTGCCCGGGGGCAGAGCAGAGAGCAAGGCCCCTGTCCTTCAGTGGGGCTCTGACCCCATTGATATCCCCTATGCCCTGCCAGCCGCGCTGCCCTGTGCCGGTCAGCAGCCACGTGGCTCAGACACACCCTCATGGCACGCTCCCAAGCCGGCCTGGCACAGGGGGTTCAGTCCTTTCTGCGGTTTGCAGTGACATGGACCTGATCCCTTGGGAACATTCCCTGCACCCCAGCCAAGCCACTTCTCGGCTGCACGCCGCTCGCCTCGTTTGATCTCCAGAGCCATCTTGCTTTCCCTGTATCCTTCACACATCATCCCAGGACAGCGCCTGGAACCCGGCCCCGGGCAAGCGCTGACAGGAGCTGCCCACTGGGGACCCCTTCCAACCCCCTCAGTCCAGGCTCAGCTTGTGCCCCCCAGCAGGGGGGGCTCAGAGCCCTTCTCCCTCTCTGCCTTTCAACCCCCCTTGATGTAAGCCGGCCGGCGAGAGCCCTCTAGTAGCATCAGCACGTATCATGGGTGTATTTTTCTGGGAAGGGAGTGGGGAACAGGAGCCAGGACTCCTGGGTTCTATTATGGCTCTGGGAGGGGAATGGGGTTTAATGGTTAGAGCAGGGGGGTGGGGGGGACTGGGAGCCAGGACTCCTGGGTTCTATTCCTCTATTTGCAGCGTCATTGTGACGAAGTGGGACTGTTCTTAATGTTTCCTCTGAATAGTGTGGGGGTGCCTCAGTTTCCCCCAGGCAGTTCTTAAGTATCTAGGGGGTGGAGTAAGGGTGTATGATCATTGCAGAGCCCTAGAGGGCATGTGTGTGCAGGAGTCTGGACACAGAGAATGGCCGACACCCTGTTTCCTGGCAACTGATGGCCTGGGCCCTTCCCCCCCTGCAAGGTGAGAGCTGAAGGGTTGGAGAACAAAGGAATCAGGTGACCACCTGGCCCGGGAAAGGAACAAAGCCCAGAGGAGGAGGGGCTGGAGGGAGTTTCAGTTGGGGGCTGGCTGGGACATGGAGTGAAGTGCAGACGTGGTTGTCTGGCTCACTGCCCCCCAAAATGGACCCAGCTGAGGGGTCCCGTTCTCTGCACCTGCAAGCTCTGTTTTAGACCATGTTCCTGTCGTCTAATAAACCTTCTGTTTTACTGGCTGGCTGAGAGTCACGTCTGACTGCGAAGTTGGGGTGCAGGACCCTCTGGCTTCCCCAGGAGCCCCGCCTGAGCGGACTCGCTGGGGGAAGCACACGGAGAGGCAGAGGATGCTGAATGCTCCGAGGTCAGACCCAGGAAGGTGGAAGCCGGGTGAGCTGTGTGTCCTGAAGACAGGCTGCTCACAGAAAGGCGACTACCCCAGAGTCCTGACTGACTTCATGGGGAGCAGTTCCAGAGCATCGCCCAGGGACTCCGTGACAGTCATCAGTCACTCCATGTGGCCCGTTTGGCATTCGTTTCCTCCCCGCTGCGAAGGCGGGAGGCGCTGTGCAGCCGGTGTATGGGGTGGAGGGCTCCCATTCACACACAGCTCGCTCCCTGCAAGCGCCAGCGATCCAGTGGGACCAGCAAAGACAGACATTCATGAGAGACCGTTTATTTCCAAGCAGCTGGCTGCCCTAGTCAGAGCAGGGCCTGGGAAGACCCTCGCCCTAGTACAGTTGGTACAGGAGAGGGATCAGTGGGATGCCCCAGCTCCAGAGCCAGGACAGGGAAGCGGGGCGGTGTGGGAGGGATGCAGGCTGTGCAGAGCAGTTACCCGGCAGAGCGAAGCTGGAGCCTGGCCCGGTGCTCAGATATCCTGGACAACCTGGGCTTTCTCCTTGTCCGGCGGGAGGATGGAGTCAGAGGACAGGAGCGGCTCCTTGCCCCCCGTGGCCTCGGCCCAGTCCTGAAAGCAGGGCAGAGGTTTAGGGCTCCTGCGCCGAATAGCGCAGCCAGCTGAGGGCAACGGCGCCCGTAGCTCCGCACTGCCCCAGCGCACACCGCCTGGGCAAGCTGCTGCCCCCGGGCAGAGAGGAGAGTCCTGCCGCGGCCTGGACCCCTCTGCTGAGGAGAAGCCAGTGAGCAGATGGGTCCTGACCCCTTCTTGCTCTGCCCCCGCAAGATTCCCGGGGCACTGAGGGTCTCTGAGCTCGGGGGCTCAGAGCGCGAGCCCCAGGGGCTGGCCTGACATGCAGGGCCGGCGGGAGAAGCAGGAAGGGGTCCCCAGGACTGCCTGCCCCTTCCGTTATCACAAGTAGCCTTGTGATGCTAATGGGATGGGGGCTACCCTACAACCCCAGGTGAGGTAGGCTCTGCCAGCCAATCAGACGGCTCCTTCCGCTCCACCCATTTTGTACTGAGCAGGGCAGGTCAGGTTACACTGCAGCTTTCAGGAGCTGGCACTGATGGGGCAACGGGCCCACTGCTCCCCGACTCGTGCCCCATGCTGTGGGGACCCCCAAGGGGGGGTCCCCTGGATCTCCACAGAAGCCCAGGGAGGGGTCATCTCAGCTATCCAGGAGCCCTGCTGGGACGTCTCCTCCTCTGCCACCCCCATACAGCACTAGGGTGCGTCTCCCCATATCACTGACCCACCAACCCTCATGCCAGTCCTGGGGAGGCAGAAGGAAGCCCCTGGCCCAGGGTCCCCCGCTCCTGGGAGTTCAGCCGGGGCTGCCCTGGGGCCCAGCCAGCCTGCCCTAGAGATGATCCCGCTCCCCCGTTACCTGCTTCCTGCAGCACAGGGCCCAGCAGCCGTAGAGGAAGGAGTAGAGGGTGATGCAGAGGCCGGTGGCCATGGTCAGCAGCAGGAGCAGCCGCACGCCCCGGAACAGGTTCTGGGAACAGCGGAGGGGACAGGCAGCACCACGGTCACGGGGCCCCACCCTGCCCGGGGCCAGGAGCCACCCAGCTCCCAGGGCTCCGTGCTTGGACAGCAGCTAGATCGGCCGGAGCAGCCCGCACAGCTCTGTCTGGGAGCTCTGTCTGGGGCCTGGTCCCTCATTTCAGACCCATGGGCCTCATTCTGATGATCATGCTCCTTGCTGGGGGGCAAGCCCCTCGGAGGCCATCCTGGGGGCTGCCCCCAGGGGGCAGTACGGAGCCTGTGAGTCAGATCCTTCCAGCCAAGGCTCGCCCAGCACTTCCCCAAGGGACACCGCGATCAGGAGGAGGGACCCAGCCCCAAGGTCACATGGCAGCTGGTGGCAGAGTCAGGATAGAACCCAGGAGTCCTGGGGCTCGGATCACTACAGCACAGCTGCCTCCCACTCCTGCAGGAGGAGGTGCACGTCGGGTAAACTCTGTCTCTCAGTGACCCAGACATCCAGCCGGACTGAGCCTCCTCTGCACAGGATCTCTGGGGCAGGAAATAGCACCCCTGGAAGTGACCGTTGGCCAACCGGCAGGTCACAGCCCCTGCAGAGCTGCGGAGGGCGGGGTCTCCTACCGGGCGGGGCACCATGTGCGCACCTCTGCCGGCCGGGGCGAGGGACCACCCAGCTCCACGCTGGTGCCTGCAGAGAGGGGGCCCGTTGCTGCAGCGTGGGGGGCCTGGGACACTGTGGTGACCACACCAGGGGGGCTGCTCACCTCAAGCCTCCTGAACTTGAACCTGCAGTCCTGCGGTCTCCAGAAATCTTCGGAGCCCGTGGGCGACGGTGAGGCCGGGCCACACAGGTAAGAGCCTTCGGTGAAGGTGAAAGACCAGGTCATATCCCGCGCCCCGATGATCACAGCCACGGTCGCCGAGACAACGCTGGCCAGGGTGAACAGCAAGGCTAGCCAGACCTGCGGGGAGGGGACCCACCGGGTGAGGCACAGATGCACCGGCTTCCCCGCCCCGTCCGCGCAGGACCATGGTCCAGCCCCAGGGCTCGGCAGGGGCACACGGCCTGCGGCTGCAGGGACGGAGGGGACACTGCAGGGAAGGGGGCTGCCCAGCCCCACCCACCGGCAGGTGGGGCGCTAATGAGGGAGCATGGCACATGGGGGGGCCACCGGAGCCTCCGGGGGGTAGGTGTACAGAAATGCAAGAAGAGGGTGGGGACATCAGGGCAGTAAGACTGGCCGCCTGACACACAGTAGAAGGGATTTCATAGATTCCCGGCACCAGGACCGTTCTGCCCACCCCGCTGGCACCCTGGGCCCGATGAGCTAGAGTGGGGCTGTTAGAGACACGCGTGGCCTGGATTCACTGGCTCCTTATTATCAGCCGGGACGGGTCCGGTTCCGCTCCAGCCAGCGGCTCTTGTCCGGTCCCTGCCTGTTGGAGCCAAGGGCCGTCTGCCACAGAGCCCCCTCCCCTGCACAGACCGGGCTCCGGGCACCTGCAGACGGCGCTCACGGCACCGCCGACCCCTCCCCTGCACAGACCGGGCTCCGGGCACCTGCAGACGGCGCTCACGGCACCGCCGACCCCTCCCCTGCACGGACCGGGCTCCGGGCACCTGCAGACGGCGCTCACGGCACCGCCGACCCCTCCCCTGCACGGACCAGGCTCCGGGCACCTGCAGACGGCGCTCACGGCACCGCCGACCCCTCCCCTGCACGGACCGGGCTCCGGGCACCTGCAGACGGCGCTCACGGCACCGCCGACCCCTCCCCTGCACGGACCGGGCTCCGGGCACCTGCAGACGGCACGCACGGCACCGCCGACCCCTCCCCTGCACAGACCGGGCTCCGGGCACCTGCAGACGGCACGCACGGCACCGCCGACCCCTCCCCTGGAGACACTAACCCAGCGAGCTCTGGCAGCCCCTCACGGGAGGCAGATTTCCCAGCCCTCGGCTCGTCCCTGTGGCTCCTTTCTGACCCTTTCCCACTTGCCACCATCCTTCCGGAAGTGGCACCACCAGTCCGGAATGCTCCCCCCCATCCGGGCGTCGGGGTGCAGACAGCGCGGCTGTCCCCCTGGGGAAAAGGGGGCAGGCTGGGAGTAGCCGGTCGTTGGGACCCACACCCAGGGCACTTCCCTTCAGTACAAAGCAGAGCCCCCTGGAGCCAGCAGCCGGTGCCCAGCGCCCTGGGCACGCACTCACCCAGCAGCCAGTGCCACGCTTTTCGCTCACAATGCAAAAGACTCCGGAGATGATGAACTGTGGAAGGGAAACCAGGGTGAGCGCCGTGTGGGCTGGGGCATTGCCAGGAGCAAGACCTCACCCCCAGCACCCACCCCAAGGTGCCCAGCAAAGGTGCAGGGGGTCGCTGTGCAGACAGTAGCTCTGGGGCTTCCTCTGGGACTGCCTGGGCCAGGGCTGAAGGCGCGTGCCGGCCGACTGTCCCTGGGGCCCACGGGAGCACAGTGTGGTGGGGATCAGGACAGACAGCGGACTGGCCCATGCCAGAGGGGACCGGAAAACAGGTCACTCGCTGACGAGCCACGTCCCTCTAACGAGCCCCAACAGCCACTGGAGCCTGAGAACTGCAGCCGCTTTGGGCATTACAGAGAGACCCCCCCCGTCCCCCCCGAATCCCAGCCCGAGAGCTCACGCCCGGGGAGAGAGGTCCTGCTTTGGGCCGAGGAGCAGCTGCAGAAATCCCGCCCCACGGGCTCTTCGTTTGCCAGGGACAGGCCCGAGTGGTGTCTGGAGCGGGGGAGCCAGTGACTGAGCCAAGCTGCTGCTCTGGGTGGTAGGGCTGCGTGCGACTCACCAGAGCGCCTGTCCAGAACGGGGATCCCGACGAGATCTCCTCTATGTGCGGCGCAAAGCAGAGCATCACGCCAATGGCCCCGCACACGATCCCGAGCAGCACCTGGCAGGCCTGCAAGATCAGCCCACAGGATTCAGCAGATGGACACAGCAGCCTGCCTTGCCTATCCCCCCCGTTGCCCATCTCCCCTCCCACCCACAGCTGGAAACAGTTCTCATGGAGGCAGGACCAAGTAAGCCCAGCCCAGCCCTGACAGGGGTTTGTCCAGCCTGCTCTTGAACACCTCCAGTGACGGGGATCCCACATCCTCCCTTGGGTGCCTGGTCCAGAGCCGAGCTCCCCTGAGAGCTAGAACAATTCGCCAGCATGGAGCCCAACTCCCCCTTGCTGCAGATGGACCCATTGCTCCTAGTCTGACCTTCAGTGGCCATGGAGAACAACTGATCCCTGTCCTCTTTCTAACCCTAACTCCAACCCCCAACTACCCAGCACATATTTAAAGGCTCCCGTCTTTATCTTCTTTTCTCAAGACTAAACAGACCCAGTTTTCTAGACCTTTGATCGTTTTTGTTGCTCTTCTCTGGACTCTCTCCAATTTGGCCACATCTTTCCTGAAGTGCAGCGCCCAGAACTCCAGCTGAGGCCTCACCAGTGCTGAACACAGCAGGACAGTGACTTCCCGTGTCTTACATACGACACTCCCGTTAATACGCCCTAGAAGGAGGTTAGCCATTTCCACCCCGGAATCATGTTCTCGAGGATATTCACTTTGTGATCCTCTCTAGCCGCCAACTCCCCCCAGCCAGGTGTTCCCCATTTTGTGCCTGGGCAGTTGTTTTTTCCCTCCCATGTGAAGTTCTTCGCACTTGCCCTTATTGAATTTCATCGGTTTGAATTCAGACCAGTTCTCCAATTTGTCAAGGTCGTCTGGAAGTCTCATCCTGTCCTCTAAAGTGCCTGCAGCCCCTGCCAGCTTGGGGTCATCCATGGTAAGTAAATACTTTCCACGTTATTAATGAGACTTATTGACTCGTACCCGCCCCAGGACTGCCCCAGCGGGACCCCACTGCATGTGCCCTCCCAGTTTCACAGAGAGCCACCGACAGCTACGCTCTCAGTCTTTCAACCCCCTGATGGTAATTTCATCTCAACATCTCCCTAGTTCGCTTATGAGGGCATCATGTGAGACAGAGTCAAAGTCTTGCAAAATCAAGATCTATCACGTCTACTGCTTCCCCCACCCAGGAACCCCGTCCCAGAAGGAAATTCGGCTGATTTGGGATAATTTATCCATGACAAACCCAGGCTGGCTGTTCCTTAGACCCTATTTTCCTCGAGGTCTTACAAACAGATTGTAAGCCGCACTCCTGCTCTAGACGTGCTCCTGCTCACTGGGCTCTCCCCACTACACATCTGCGTGTCCCTGCGGCGCCCTGATCTCAGCCCCGTCCTGCCACGTTGGCACTTACCCCAAGCACTTTCTGCTCCCCGCGGTAGCGGCCCTTGGCAAGGCCCTGGCTGGTGGGTGCCCAAGGCTTGGCCCTTCTCTGGAGCATGGACCTGACCAGGAAGGCCAGGCACGACTCCTGGTTGACGGTGATGTTGATGACGGTCTTGTCCGAGCCCTCAGTGGAAACCTCCATGTCATTCACCTTCACCACGCTGGTCGGCATCCTGAGCCCGCTCTGAAACAGGGAGGGGAGTGAGAGCAGCGCCCAACCCGCGTGCCTGACCTGCGCAGCCCCCGCGCCAACAGGAGGTTCCCCTAGCACAGCCCCAGACCACTCTGCCCCACTGAGCACTGGGCACAGCGATGCCAACACCTCCTGGCCGCCTGGGAAGGGGCCGTTTCTAAGACCCCTTTTCAAAGAGGCCTGGAATGGTCCAACGGTTGCTGGATGTCATAGGGCTTACCAGACAGGATCAGCTCTGGGCCCATCTCCAGTAGTGGCAGGGAAGGGGCTGCAACCCCTGCAGTGGGCAGTGACGGGATAACCTGAGACAGGATCACCTCACAGGGTCAGCTCCTTCCTTTCCCCCATTCTTAGGGGTCAATTTATGCCCTGAAACAGGCGGGTTCATAGCCCTTCCCGCACTAATCCTCACCACACTAACTCTGGATGTTCTCATTATCCATAAATACGGCCAGTCTATTCTGAATCATGCTAAATTCGGCCTCAGTTAGATCATGTGGCATTGAGTTCCACAGGCTAGCTTGTGTGGTGTGAAAAACTATTTCCTTTCATCCTCCCCCTCCCAGCACTATCTTATTTTCTTTCCATTATGCCAGCAAATTTCTAATCACACTTAAAAATGACCAAGATATTATTAGTGATTTGGTATGTATCCTGTGGACACTCGATGTGCCAGGACCCCAGTGTGTAAGGTGCTGTACAAACACTGAACAAAGAACGTCCCTGCTGACAACCTAAGTATAAGACAAGAAATGGACGGGGAGCACAAGGAAACAGGGACCAGACCAGATGGGATTCACTCAAGAGTTCGGAAGGCACTCAAATGTGAAGTTGCAGAACTACTAACTCTAGTAGGAGAGGTTTCAGAGTAGCAGCCGTGTCAGTCTGTATTCGCAAAAAGAACAGGAGGCCTTGTGGCACCTTAGAGACTAACACATTTATTTGAGCATAAGCTTTCGTGAGCTACAGCTCACTTCATCCACGGCATGCATCCGATGTAGTGAGCTGTAGCTCACGAAAGCTCATGCTCAAATAAATGTGTTCGTCTCTAAGATGCCACAAGTCCTCCTTAACTCTAGTATGTAACTGTGACATTGCCAGGGCAAGATCCAGACCCATGAGTAATTGTGTCCCCTGCCCTCTAGCCTGGGGTGCCTTTTTCACTGCTGTAGCCACCTGCCTGGTCTGCTCACCCACAGCCTCCAGCAGGTAAGTCACTCCCAGCGAGGTCTGGCTCACGCTGGCTTTTCTATTGCAGGGTGACCCCATCACACTCCCAGTCCCAGATTTCCCCCCAGAAATGCAGGTCTCGTAGAGGCCAGCTATTTCCGGGACAATAACGCTGATATAAAGTGTGTCATTTAATTCATAAAAACGAGAAGTGAAGGGTTAATGTTTAGCTATTCCACCTGGAAGCAGGCGGGGCACACCCTGACTGTTTCGTAGAAGCAATGCACACATTGCTCTATCCAAGGACAAGGGCTAGATATGAACCATGAGAACTTGATTGTTTGGACAGCAACTGTGGGAGGCTTTCTTAGCCTGGGCTCAAGGCCTGAGAACCAGGATTGTAGTAGATAGGGGATGGTAACTAAGTATATGAATTAACCTCATACATTCCTTTGTGTAGCAGTGTGTAATGCTTAGGGGGAGAAATATAATAAAAGGAGAAGGTGGAAGGCGGGGGGGCAGAACGGCCCATCTCAGCTGACCAGCCTGTTTGCTTGCATAAAGCTGTGTTCTGTCTCATCACTGAACCGCCACAGAGAAGCACATTCTTACTGTCCCACATGGAGCTTCCCAAACACTGCACTTCAAAGACAGGATTAGATAAAACAATAAACAAGTTTATTAACGACAGAGAGAGATTTTATGTGAGTACAAGTAAGGAGGCATAAAAGGCAGAACCAGTTACAAGGAAAAGAAAAGTGAAATGCAGCTCCTGCCTAACTTAGCCAACCAGGGTACTTTGAAGCCAAGTTGCTCTCACCACGTTTTGGCAGTTCTGCGGGTGAACTTCTTTCAGTCAGGATCCCTCCCCCACTCCAACGCTGCTTCCTTCGTTCTCCAAGTGTCATGAATGCCCACGGGCAGAGAGAAAGGGAAGAAAGCTTTGGTGTATCTGCCCCCCTGGCTTATAGTTCCGCCCCCCTTTGAGTAACGTTTCCAGCGGAGATTCAGGAGACAGACAGTCTACGTGGAGTCTATAGTCCAAGTACACTATATTACTGCATCACCAAAGGCCACATGCTTGTTGACCCTTCAAAGAATTCTAGTAGATTGCTGAGGCATGATTTCCCTTGACAAAAGCCGTGTTAACTCTGCCCCAACAAATCTTGTTAGTCTCTGCTTCTGACAATTCTGTTCTTTACGAGAGTTTCAACTAGTTTGCCCGGTACTGAAGTCATGCTGACCGACCTGTAATTGCCGGGGTCGCCTCTGGAGCCCTTTTCAAAGATCAGTTTCACATGAGCTCTCCTCCCATCATCTTGCACTGAGGCTCAATTCAACGATAGGTTTATCCTCCTGCTGATAATAGCCGATAAGGACTCCTCCTTGTTTTTGCTGATACAGACTAACACGGCTACCCCTCTGAAACCACAGTTTGTAGTTCTGGAATTTCACATTTGAGTTCCTTCAGTACTCTTGGGTGAATCCCGTCTGGTCCTGGTGACTTATTGCTGTTTAGTTTATCCATTTGCTCCAAAACCTCCTCTGATGACACCTTAATCTGGGACAGTTCCTCAGATTGGACACCTGAAAAGAATGGCTTAAGTGTAGGAACCTTCCTCACATCCTCTGCAGTGAAGACTGACACAAAAAATCCATTTAGTTTCTCCCCAACGGCCCCGTCTTCCCTGAGTGCTGCTTTAGCACTTGGATCGTCCACTGGGCCCCGGATTGTTTAGCAGGCTTCCTGCTTCTCATGTACTTACAAAAATTGTCGTTAGTTTTTGAGTCTTTTGCTCGTTGCTCTTCAAATTCCTTTTTGGCCTGCCTAATTATACTTTGACATTTGAATGGGCCATCAATGGCTATAGCCAAGATAGTCAAGGATGCAACCCCAATGCTTTGGGTGTCCCCAAACCTCTGAGTGCCGGACGCTGGGAGTGAATGATAGGGGATGGATCACTCACTAATTGCCCTGTTCTGTTCACTCCCTCTGTAAGCACCTGGCACTTGTCACAGGAGACTGGCCTAGGTGGACCTTTGGTCTGACCCAGTCTGGCCACTCTCATGTTCTTAACGAGCCAGTGCTGGGCGGTCTCTGCACATCAGCTGCCTACCCACAGTTACTTCACCCACTCAGCCATTTACACATGCAGAGAGCTTTACTCTCATTCTATTAGGGTGACCAGATGTCCCGATTTTATAGGGACAATCCCGATTTTGGGGTCTTTTTCTTATATAGGCTCCTATTACCCCCCAATCCCCTTTCCTGATCTTCCATATTTGCTGTCTGGTCACCCTACATTCTCTAGCAAGATTTTTCAGAAGAGCCATTCCACGCAGAATGCCAACAGGACAGCTCGGCCGCGCATTTTAACATGGAAATAGCCAAAAGCCGTTAGTGGGTCCTCATTGTTAACACGTTTCAACTCGCTGGGCCCGTGTCCCTCTCAAAAGGCAGCCGTACAGCTCCTGGCAATGTCAGGTCTCCTGCATGCAAGGATCTTTTCCCCAGCCCCACATCCTGCAGGCTGCTCTTTAGAAATGGACATGGCACAGTCCCAGCCGGATACTCCGGGTTTGCTTCCTGATCCACCCACACGCATCCAATTGCAGGGCTGGGTCCCTGGAGTTCAGTGGCACCGAGCCTGTCCCCGCCAGACGTACTGCTCAGCTCGCATGGCCCAGCCTTCAGGCAAGCAGGGCTCGGGCGCTGTGCAAGAGCCGGAAGCAGAACAGAGCTCTGCGGTGGGAAAGCCCCAGAGGCCTCCTGGAGCTTCTCGTCCAGTCCCGCTCCTCCCTCTGGCAATCCCCCCCCCCGCCGAGGCCAGCGCCTAGAGCCGAGCCCTGCCCCCCCCGCCATCCCCCTCCCCAAGGCCAGCGCCTAGAGCCGAGCCCTGCCCCCCCCCGAGGGCACCCTGAGCCGAGCCCAGCCCTCCCCCCCCCCGAGGCCAGCGCCTAGAGCCGAGCCCTGCCCCCCCCGCCATCCCCCTCCCCGAGGCCAGCGCCTAGAGCCGAGCCCTGCCCCCCCCCCCGAGGGCAGCGCCTAGAGCCGAGCCGAGCCCTGCCCCCCCCCCCGAGGCCAGCGCCTAGAGCCGAGCCCTGCCCCCCCCCGAGGCCAGCGCCTGAGCCGGGCCCTGCCCCCCCCCGAGGCCAGCGCCTAGAGCCGAGCCCGAGCCCCCCCCCCCCGAGGCCAGCGCCTAGAGCCGAGCCGAGCCCTGCCCCCCCCCCCGAGGCCAGCGCCTAGAGCCGGCCCGCCCCCCCCCCGAGGCCAGCGCCTAGAGCCGAGCCGAGCCCTGCCCCCCCCCCGAGGCCAGCGCCTAGAGCCGAGCCGGCCGAGCCGAGCCCTGCCCCCCCCCCCGAGGCCAGCGCCTAGAGCCGAGCCGAGCCCTACCCCCCCCACTGCCGCCCCCCTCCCGAGGCCAGCGTCTAGAGCCGAGCCCTGCCAGCGCCCCGGGGGGGGGGGGGTCAGCAGGGTGCAGCCCGGCCCCAGCAGGTCTGCCCGGGGCCGTGCCAGCCGGGGTCACGTTCCATCCCCCGACGGGCTGTTCCCCGCTCTCAGCAGCGGCCGGAGCCGGGCAGGTCCCTGCCCCCCGGAACGGCCAGGCTGAGACAGGGGCGCAGACAGACGGGGGGGCCCCCAAGGCCGACGGGCCCCCAGCTCGCAGCGGGAGAGGAGGGTGTGGAGGGGCCCGGACCAGCACCAGGGCTTTGGGGGGCGCTGCCCCCGCGGGTCAGAGGTGGGGGGCCGCCTGGGGAGTGGCAGGGAGCGGCTGGAGGTCGCAGCCCCCCCCCGCAGCAGATTCCCCCAAAGCGGAGTCCAAGCCAGCGGCTGAAAAGCCAAGCACGGCCCGGCCCCGCGACGGCCCCGCACTCCCCGCCGGCCGCCCCGCGACGGCCCCGCACTCCCCGCCGAGAGCCCCGCACTCCCCGCCGGCCGCCCCGCGACGGCCCCGCACTCCCCGCCGGCCGCCCCGCACTCACCGCCGTCAGCCCCGCACTCCCCGCCGGCCGCTCCGCGACAGCCCCGCACTCCCCGCCGTCAGCCCCGCACTCCCCGCCGGCCGCCCCGCGACAGCCCCGCACTCACCGCCGTCAGCCCCGCACTCCCCGCCGGCCGCCCCGCGACGGCCCCGCACTCCCCGCCGTCAGCCCCGCACTCCCCGCCGGCCGCCCCGCGACGGCCCCGCACTCCCCGCCGGCCGCCCCGCGACGGCCCCGCACTCCCCGCCAGCCGCCCCGCACTCACCGCCGTCAGCCCCGCACTCCCCGCCGGCCGCTCCGCGACAGCCCCGCACTCCCCGCCGTCAGCCCCGCACTCCCCGCCGGCCGCCCCGCGACAGCCCCGCACTCACCGCCGTCAGCCCCGCACTCCCCGCCGGCCGCCCCGCGACAGCCCCGCACTCCCCGCCGGCCGCCCCGCGACAGCTGAGTGCGCAGCGCCGCGCTCCTCCCTGCCTCGGAATGCGCGGCACGGAGCATGCGCGGTTCGCCCGCTGACGCCCCTGCCCGTCTCCCCCGTCGGCGTCTGCGGGCGGCTCTCGGCGCCGGGGCGAATCGGAGCCGGGGGGCGGGTCTGAGCGGGGGCGGACATGGACGGGGGGGTCCAGCAGCTGGAGGCAGGGTTAGGGGCGGGGCTAACGGGAAAGTCTGGGCGGGGTTCAGACCAGGGGCGGGGTTTAACACGCCCCTGAGCCAGTGCAGATAATCCCTGAGATTTCATTCAGTGAAACATTTTACCTGTATCCCCATAGAAACAAAGAACCCCCGAGCACCTCGGTGCCTGAATGCACGGCGTCTCTGAGCAGTGTCCCAAGTTCTCTTATTTCCTGCTGGGATTCCCTGAATTCCCTGAATTTTTAATTCTAATTTTTTGAGCAGATGTTTATTCTGTTGGAGCTGACTTCCACTCGGACGGAATTTCTGGCCTAGTGTCAAAACTTCGTTTTGAGTCACTCCACCAATGGGGGTTGCATTTTTGCAACTGTTATTTTGCCTCTCAGTCTAGGCCTTAGTGGTTTTCCGCATGCCGTTGTGTACAACTTGATTCTCAAATATTCAATAAAGGCCGTATACTGTCTCCTATAACGTCTTTCTCCCCGGAAACAAAAATCTATTGTAATTTTTGCAGACAATTAGAACTGCCATCGTGGGTCAGACCAGTCGTCCGCCTCATCTAGTGTCCTGTCTGGTGACAGTGGCCAATGCCGGGTGCTTCTAAGGGAATGATCAGACCAGGCAATGACTCAGTGAACCATCCCATGGTCCCCTCCCAGCATCCGGCAGTCAAAGGACGGGTTAGGGACATGCAGAGCTTGGGCCTGCATCCCTGATTATCTTGGCTAATAGCCAATGTACTTATCCTGAGGGACTGATCGAATTCTTTGTTCAACCCATTCATAGTTTTGCCTTTCAGAATATAATGAACACACATCTACAACCCCAGGATACCTTTACAACCCCAAGGATTCTAAAATCGTGAGTTATACACCCTCGAGTCAAGACATTGTAATAAATAAATGATTTCTTTTTTTATGTGCCTCTTTGTTCCTGAGCCTGTGGGGTGCAGCAAGGCCAGTTCCAATGCCTTGACCCTAAACACCTGAATGAATCTTCGTCTGCCCTCATACTCCCAAACATTTCATATACCTAAGGCCATTTCTGCACTTTAAGTGTGGGTTAACTCAAGTTATGTCAGCATAGAGTCACTACGGTGGATTTTAGCCCACGAAAGCTTATGCCCAAATAAATTGTTAGTCTCTAAGGTGCCCCAAGGACTCCTGCCTGCTCTTTTTGCTGAGACAGATTAACACGGCTGCTACTCTGAAATATGTCACTTGTGTGCATGCCTCCTGGACTCCTTGTCTCAGCAGTCAGGGTACTCACCAAAAGCAAGTGTATAGTTTCAGAGCGAGGTGCACCATGAATAGATATCCCACTGTCCACCCACCGTATTTTGGGAAGCTTTGGTGTGGCAGTGTATGCTGGGAACCAAACAGGTCAGACAGGGCTGGTTGTGGCCAGGGGATCCAACTGCTTAGAATGCATTGTTAACCATCCACTCATTTTACATGTAGCCCATACATAAACTTGTACATAATGTTTACACGTTTTTTTCTAAACCCACTAACCTGCCTGGCCCTCCTCACTGTCTGCCATCTCACGCAGACTCAGGGAGCTT